TGGTCAATAGATGAGATGTTACACACAGCCTGTGGGTTACCCCTGCCCTTTCGTTGTCTATTTCCCCCATGCCTATAGATGAGATGTTACACACAGCCTGTGGGTTAACCCTGCAAGCCATGTCAAGACACAGCCCGGACACATTCAAGAAACACAACACGCAGGTCCTGCCGCTAGCTTTCCTGGCCATGCATGTCAAGAAAGAGAAAGGTACCAAAATAATTTTGAATAATTGCAGAATATCTTGGCCTCTATAAAGACTAGCCTGCTTAAAGAAAAAGCCGTTATAAGCAGGTGGTCACAGACTGAATGCACCTGTAACCTACAAACTGTTCACAACTTGATAAATTGCTGGCACACATCAAGAAAGCACAGCACAGCATTACGAATGTCTCCTAATTGAAGTCAGTAGATTAACTTGTGTAACATACACTACTGTGTAACATACACTACCGTGTAACATACACTACCGTGTAACATACACTACCGTGTAACATACACTACCGTGTAACATACACTACCGTGTAACATACACTACCGTGTAACATACACTACCGTGTAACATACACTACCGTGTAACATACACTACTGTGTAACATACACTACTGTGTAACATACACTACTGTGTAACATACACTACTGTGGACAGTGGCTATAGAAACTGTAACTGCTCCTCAGTGACCTATAATATGTAGTTACAGTTGGATTATCCATTTGTTTCTATGATAGTAAGTGGGCGGAGCGAGGAGAAGGATAATGTGTGGGAGGAAGTATGGCTAGACTCCACACCAGGTGAGATGAGTTGGTAGTTCTTAATTGATTGTGTGCAGAGGTCTAAGGGGAAATGGCAGAATGTGGACATCATAATCATGTAGAAAAGAGGTCACTGTGTCAAGTAACAATGATATCACATGTTGAAGGCACCTTTAATGTTCATGTTCCCACTGATGTATACTAGACAGACATACTTATAAATGTGTCTCTTTAAATCTAGGGGATCTTATGCATGCAGTCCATAGAGAAAATGTTGACTTCACATTTAAATATTCTGTTCAGTGGAGCGTTGTTCCCATGCAAGTTCTTCAATGAGACATGCAGTTCAAACCTAACAATCAACTGCTTAGTGCAGTGTTTTTATCATCAGTTATCATGAAGCTGTAACTTTTTTCAAAGGGTCTTTCAGTAAAGTTGCTGCAGTAGAAAAACCTACAAAGGGGTTCCTTTTAGGATTGTCATAGATACTTTTTACTTTTAGGACATAGTTATCTGTATGTGCGTCAAATATTGACAATACATTAACCCTAACACTCCTCAATCCTTCACCTGTTGGTAGACTGAGGAGTGTTAGGGTTAAAGTGAGTGGTGAGAAGCCATCAGAGTTAGTGACTGTTGTTCCTTGCCCAGGCACTGAGAGCGGTATCAAGCTGTACTTAGCTGAGATTGTCAGCCTGACTCAGGAATCACTAGGATCTCAGTCATGGCCTCGCAAAGCCCAAGCTGCGAGAGCCATGAGCACCGTGGCCAAGAAATTAGGCTCCAGCTTACAACCTCCTCATCTAGGGAGGTTGCTTGGAGCCTTGGTCGGAGGATTAGCTGGAAGGACGTGGGATGGCAAGGCAAGAATAGTTTAACTTCTTCTTCTCGATATAAAGACTTTTGGTTATTGCTTGTTTCTGAAGTTTTCTCTTGTGCACCAAGTGAAGTGAAGCGAATGACATATATGAGACATTTTGTCCAGCCCTGTGCCCATAACAAAAGACGAGCATGTTTTCCTGGAATCAAGGTAATTTTTAGCCATATTTTCAGTAATTCTATTTTATCCCCTATTTTCCAGGATGAGCTTCTGAAGTCGATATCAACAGTGTGTACATCATGCAGGTATGACCTCAGTGCTAACAATTGGGCTGAAACTAATACGGCTGAAGGAGAAGTTTGAAACATTCATTGATGAGGATTGTCTAATTATTCACAGTTGTCTCTGAAAATGGCAAAAGTATTGAAGGAGGGGACCGGGTCACATTGTAGTGGGGATATGGTCGTTTAAGATCACTTGTAAGAACTATCCTCTTCCACTAATGCTTGCACTTACTTTCTAGGACTGCTCTTCAGAATCCAATCGATGCCAATCCTGAACAACCAACTATGGATGTAGTCCTGACAGCCGTGTTCAAAGAATGTAAGAAGGAACGCATTGACTACAAGATGACAGCCCTTGAATGTTTGTCGTCTATCTTAGAAGCTCATGGCATTGACAGGTTTGAGGAATTGTCAAGGATACTCTTCCCGATTGTTTCCAAGGTAGAGATGTAGTTTTCGACTTCTCGCTTGTATAAATTTGCTTAGTTTTCTTGTTTGTTATAGTGTGAAGAGTTTAATGTATTTTTAGTATTTTGTTACTTTGAACGTTGTGTGGATAGCAGTCGTCTTGGATATAAGCATTTCACTGCTTGCCTCTGCTCATTTTATTTAGGACAAGGACGATGAAGATTCGGATGAGGAATCTGATCGATCCAGACAAGATCAGAAACTCCAGCTGCAGGAATGCGCCTACGAGAGTCTTGGTAAAGCCTGGCCGAGAGAGAGGCAAACGCAAGGTGAGCACCAACCATGGATGGAAAGAACACCTAGACAGGCAGTACCATGCTCTGACTGGAATCAGGAATCCTTAAGACTTCATTACGGTCGTAGATTACTAAACCGTCCAAGGTTCCAGGCATCTTTAAAATCCTCCGGGAGGGTTGGAGGGATTAGGTAGAATCTGCCTCTGTGACTTTATGTGGGGCTTGATGCTCGTTGAATGTAATTGACAAAGAATGTACCACAGGTATTTGCTCAATAGAGGATTTTACAAGGGTCCTTTAAAAAATGCGTAGGGATACAGGTCTTCTAGAAATGGGGTTAAATCTTCTTGTACTTGTATCCATAAACTTGGTTTCTCCATGGAATTCCCCATATTGCAGCCTTTTTTTGGCCAACTTTCTAACTGTTTGTTCCTGTAGATTTATTCCACCAGGAGCTGTGTCGTTACTTCTCCGAGGGCCTGCAGACGAGCACCTTCAAGACACAAGTCACAATTCTGAAGTCATTAGACCTTTTCTTTGAGAGGTAGGAAAAGGAAAGATTCACATTCCTCGTTTTGAAAGCACATGTGTTTGATCGTCCTTACTTGTTCTGTTTATGTGGTATGGCATATAAAGAGGAATGAGGAATGTCCCCTATTTCACTTTTTACCTGTAAGAGATAGAAAGACCATAGTGTCATCCCAACAAAATTATTCATTATAAAAAGACAGTTTGTTGTAGAAAAGCAGATTGTCATGTAATCATGAGATATGTAGAAAAGTAGCCCATCTTTGCAGATCTTTCAATTTTTTAAACCGTAACATTGTTAATAATGTTTGATTTGAGCATTCCATCTCCCCTTCCAATTACTGTTCAGGTGTTGACATTTCAGGGGTTGAACGTTAGTGAAAAATTCTGTTTGTCAAGCAACTTTTTTCCTGCACTCTCCAGCTGAGGTTTACACCATTTCTCTTATCAACGAAGGCAAAACACTGCTTTGTAGTGTCTGTATCCACAATGACTTTCCTTTGATAAACTCTCTTACAGGTTAATGTTCCTGGACCCAGGAATCAGCAACATGGACTGCAAGTTCTTGTCCAGTATCCTTATCCGTATTGTCCCGGATCTCTGCCGATGTCTAGGTAGGCGCAAGAGTTTCACTGTTACTCCAAACAGTAGCCTCAAGCCAATTATGATTTGTGTTATATAGGACTTGTACTCACTTGCTGGTCGTGTTGATTGGCTGAAGGGCGATCCCTGCTAAAATATTTCTTTCTTGAAAATTTAAGAAAAGTTAAAAGTGACTAAGAGTGGAGTAATGGAGGAGAATTGACCACTTTGTTTTCCGATTATCTGTTCTAAATCATCAATAAAGTTGTCTTTCTTTGTTGACGTAATACAGCATTTCAAATAGTTCTGACGAACCCTTTGCAGCTGCTATGAAGTAGTCTGGCACCTTTCTTTTCCAGAGTGCATTATAAAAGAAATGAAGTTTGGATGTAAGACTTGCGAATAATCCTCAAACCCTGTTCAAACTTGGCACATTTACTGGTTCCAGGTGTTGTCAAGTACGTTGCAATCAGGAGACAGGCGCTCACTGTGCTGGAAAATCTTGTCACCAAGCTGAAAGGTACGTAGCACTTGTGGCTAGTAAACACCTCTTCGATGGTGGAAAAAAGAATGAAATCAGGCCAGCAGTTGATATAATGTCAATCCTGCAGGTGTTCCCAGGTCTTAACGTAAACATACCACATGTGCCGTGTGCTGTTTGCGTGTAAATTTACGAACTCATCGGCCTTGTGGGACCTTGTTACTAGGTAGCAAAGCGCCCTCTCTAGGTCATGCACAGAGTGTATACACAAGAAGTAGGTGACAAGATGCAGACATATTAACTCTTGAGGGCCTTTGCTGTCCATAGAATATACCATAATCAGATCGTGCTGTGGGGTAAACATGTATCCAGTTTTCTTTATGAAAGACACTTCACCTTAATGAAGGAATCGTCAGTACATAGGTCATCATCCAGGAACTGCCTTGCCATGTTGACGTTTTTACCTTTTAGGGCAAAAGGATGGGTTATGCCTCAACTGTGGAGTGCATCCCAAACCTTCCCCCCCCCATGATGTAAAATAATGTCCAACTTCACCTAGAATCATGTGACCTTGTGTATACTGGAATAGTCCTTACTTGCCCATCGGCGTTTCAAGCTGTACATTTTCCTCACGTCTTTGTCTCACGTGATGCTCTTTTTCCCATTAGACATCAGCCAAATGGCATTACTCAATGCCGACATGTTGTCCAACTTAGAGGACAGCCTTCTTGGCATGACGTCAGACTCGGAACCGAGCCTGAAAGACCGAAGCAGACAGCTGAGGAAGGCACTGGAGCAGTACATCCAGAGAGAACCGGCTGATGCCAATGAAGAGAGATAATCATAACCCAACTTGGTGTCCTTAAGCAAGGTACTGTACTGCAGTGGCTTCTCCATTCAATAGGGGTCGGTTTTGTAGTTTGTGATGTCGCTGTAGCAGTGCATGGAGAGGACTTTATAGTCTCCTCAACCAGTAGCCTCCTAGTTTAACAATGCAAGAAGGTTAACCAAATCAAGTCCTTAGATAATGTTTGCTTCAAATTTACTTTCAATTAATTCACGTGCCTTTTTTGCAGGTAGAGTTTTAAACAGCAGATTTCAACCTTGTTGGTTGAATGATTGGATCATTTGTGATAATGGCCAACTAAACTGTTTCATGACTCTTGAAGGCACCAATATATTGGGAAAAGTGGAGAAAAGGTGCATTATTTTGAGGTTAAAAGTCATTTTCAAATTGCCTGATTGTGATCATTATAAAAGTTATTGTAACCCAACTTTTGATTTATTTAAGGACTTGTTCCAGGTCAGATTTTTGGGAAGGCTTGGGTTGATATATATTCACCCCTACCCCCAGTGTGATAAATCGTAACCTACATATCACATGGGAAAAAAATTAAATACTGTTTTCTGTCTTAATTTTTGGTTCATTACTCAAAGTGTTTGTATTGATTTCAGTATTTCAACTGGAAAAAACTGGATCCAAAACCATGTTTGAATTCCAGATTTAAATCTCTCAATTATTCGTAAAAATTTTAAGACAAAATGTTCCCAAAACAATGTTCTCAGACAGTAGCAAAAATTAAATGAAAAATTTAGAGCAAACATACAGGTGTTGGGTTTTTACTCACCAACTTGAATATACCTTCCCTATTTTTCAATTGTATTTTGAATTCAATGCAACTTTAACCTCGGTTACATTTGTCTTTGTATCACTGAGTAGTAACTGAATTGGAAAGTTGGAGGTAAGCGGATGGATGTGTTGCTACACAAGGACATTAGTTGAACAAGACGCAAATTTACTGTCATAGTTCAACGCTACGTTATCTGTATTAGACTTGTCCATAGCACCCATATCTCTTGATAATTTATCACATTTCTTCAATGCATTAATACACCTTATTACATCGTATCACACTGTATCACATTGTTTTATAAATGTGTTTGCAATACCCACAGGTCAATTTCTCTTGTAAATTAGTCTTTCCGAATGTGTGCATTCTCTTGAGAAGCCACTCTAATGAATGATGCAGATGATGTGCAGATAACAATGTAAAATATACATGTAGGTCCTCTTTACTGAAACCAAATTTTACTGAAACCCTTTTTAAATATGGTAAAGTTTCTGGCATCTTTTCAGGAAATCTGAAATTTTCATTTGGTTTGATATGGGCCGTGATTACAAAATGGGCAAAATACAAATTAATAGAGTACCTCCAAAAAGTATAAGTTAAAACTAACGATGTGATGTTTGGAATCTGGGCAGGTCTGTCACAGTCTGTTGAGAATTGACAATACACTAATTCAACACTGTTCAAGAATCTTTATACTGTAAGTTGATGCAAATACACCTACTTACAAACACCTTTAGTTTGTCCTGTGAATGCAGTCTCATGTTGTAACAGATGAGGTTATTCTTGCAAACCCTTTTCAATAAATAATGATTTAAATGAACACGTAGTAAACATGTTCAGTGTTTGCACACACGTAACACAATTATTTTCATTTTGATACAGTTAACCATTGTAAGTTTTGGCTGGAAAAATCAATATGCTAGTTTTGCTTAAAACAAGACAAACCGCTGTTGAATTTTAGTTCAAGAAAAAATATAATTTTTACCCTTTGCAAAGTGTTCTGTTTTATTTGAAGAAGCCGTGTTGGTCAAAATAATGATTTTAACCTTATGCAAATTTTCAAGCGTTCCTTTGTTTAATTAAAAAAAGATGAGGTTATTCGTATTACAATGAAAACAGCTAAAATCCATTTGTAAGTTTTGATAAAAACAAATGACATATTACTGCCCTATCTGAATGGATAAAATACAGGTTTAAAACGTCCGAGGCATTTTAATTCAAATCCATTATGATTAAAATGTAAAATTACAAATGTACATTAATGACATCTGGGTACAGTGATACACACATCATACAATAACTTCAACATAATGACAATGTCCATCAAGACATTCTCTATAAAGCACCATTTATCCTGACCATCAGAACAATACAAATCCCCTTAACCTAAAGACCCTTTGTACTCTAACTAATCAAGAACTACACTACCTACTGACAGGATGAACACGTTTGGTACACAAACTTTCCCTCAATCAAACCAAACTTCCAATGTGAGTCATAAATGCCTGTTTTGTCCGCTATCATTGAACAGGTCCATAACCATTCACAGACCTCAATGTTTGACTATTCTAACTCACTATTACACTCTTTTCCTTCACTCTGGCTAAAAACTGAAATAGGCCTACTGTTTAATCCACATTGCTATCAAAGTAATGCTACTCTGCTTGTTAAAATCAAGAAAAATCCTCACTAAAATGTCTTATACATGGTTTGACGGGTACAAAATTTACAAAGAAAAGTTCCATTCAGATAAAAAAATACAATTCATGTATTCCTGTTGAAGTGATTTTTAAAAACGTTTAAAAAGGGGGAAAACAAAGTAAAGTCCAGCACCTAAATAATGCAGCTGTTGTTACATAATAGATGTATACATATTGAAGTATATTTGACAGTGTCATCTTTATCAAATTGACAATACGATGCTTGAGCTGTTGTCCGAACTGTAATCTTTACAACCTGGCAGAGAGTGAAACTTGAATCCACACCCTGTCAAAAGAAGAATAAAATGACAGTTAAAAATTGTAACCCACCTCAAGAATTATGGCTAAATCACGAGTTATGTACAACAACTCCCCTTTGTAATAGGGGAAAAATGGCAGAAACAGACAGCTGATCTCACATTAGGGTTCGAAAGACTTACTTTTATACTCTATGTTCCTCCTTGGTCTGGTCATCTGCACCACTAGGCTTTCTCTTGGGCTTTTTTCTTGTGAAGATCAGGATGCCAACGATGACAATGGTGAGGAGAAGGATGACCAAAGCAGCTGAACTGATCAGAATCCAATGGAAAGAATCCATCTTGGGCTTTGACCTCTGATCTGTGACTGGCACTGGATCCATAATATCTGGCAACAATATAGGAAAAAAAAATTGAGATTGACACTCCAAAATGCTGGAATTTGGTATTTTATACGTGGGGCTTGCTTATCCCCATTTTCTTAGTCAAGAAATTGTGATGTCCAGGTGTACGTTCATCATTTAGATTTAGGAGGAGCTAAGTCTTTATTCTGATGGAGTTTCATTGTCATCAAATTTAATAGCTTATTAAAAAAACTCACCTCTGGACAAAGTCATGACAGGTTTCTGGAAGGATGCTGCAGCAGGGTTAGCATCTCTGTCGATGGCAAGCAAACGAAGCAAGTAGAGTGTTCCTGGCTTCAAGTTAGTTAGTGTGTAGTTACGTTCCGACGCCGGGATGAGAGAAGTATTGGTGTAGACACTCACATGGGACTCGCGGTACTGCAGAATGAAACCCTGTATGAATCGTTCGTCCTCACGGTCGAAATTCCAGAAGACCGTGGACTGGTTATTGAGGACCTCAGTCACTCCAGTGATGGAAGGATTCCCTACAAAATATGTGAAAAACCTATTAGTGGGGTCAGGTCCAACTGGACAGAACTAATCAACCCTTAGCTAATCACTCCATGATAAAACAGAAACTTCAAGTCCACAAGTCTGCTGGCAATGAAATGAAAAGCAACTGAACACCAGACAGCAGCTGATGAAAGCTTGTAACAAGATAGCAGCTTTGTGTCTCGATGCTTAACTTAAAAAAATCCTTTTTGCATATGATCACATTAAAGCTTCAAAAGAGATGCCCTTTGCAATTGTATGTTGAATGGAGCGTTTCCATCTTGGCAAGTGGAAAAGTCAACCTTGTTAGGTAACATCAATGCAAAAGGTTTGACATTTCTTCACCAACTAGACTTCAGTCACATTGCCAGATGGAACAGTGGAAAAACAAGTCATAGCATGAATAAATGATCATGTGGAGGGTTTGGCAAAAATCAGTGGAGCAGATCCCAAGCCTTGAGCCTTTTTTGGCAGAGAAAAAGAAAGTACAGTCTTGCATTTGTAGCACCATGGACAGAAACTGGGGCTCATTAACAATGAAAACAATTACCCACACTCACAAGACTTTTTTTACACCAATATTCAGAAATTCTAAATCTGCATTCTGTTTGAAGAAAAGTTTTCAATACCAACACCTCCCTCAATCTATTGATTATTCAAAATACCTCCCAACAAACCACACAAATGTGTTAAACTGTAAAACAAGTTCCACTGGATGAAAACATTCAAGAAAGCAATCATTAATATTTAATTATAAAATTGTTAATCGGTTTTTATGTTTTAAGCAGAGTTAAATAAACTTCTAAACAACACAACACATTAATGTCATTCAGGTAAACTGGTTTTAATGACACCCTCTGACAGAATCTTTGACCATTTGAGTGCATTTTGTGTAAACTTTAAGTTACTTTAATAAATGATACAAACAGTATATCAAATGAAATAAGTTATTGTGGATTTGACAGTGAAACCTTGTACAAAGCCTGCGTTGAACATTAAGAATTAGGCACCTGAACTTTAACTACTGGTGCGCAACATTTTCATAGTTATCAGTATCAATTATTATGTGAACAAAATGAAGTTATGGGGATGACAAGTACAATGTGAAGATATCCAGTTTGGATACATTTCTTACAATCAAGGCATGTTTACTTTGTTTAATGAGGGTAGAAGTTGAGAGGTTGTTACCAATGAGCCAGTTGGCTATTTCAGAAAAAGCAACGCCATTTCAAGAACAAGCCATGCAAGCAAAGTTAGGGTACAGCAGAGCTGATGGGGCATACCTCGTGTCCATACTGCTGTCCCCGAATGACCTCAGTTGGGATTCAATTTCATAAAAGCTGTTGGAATATCAAACTGGCTTATAGGTTTTTGTTAGATTTACAGAATCATTATGGAGCTGTAAATGGAAGCAATAGTATGAACACTAGAATGGTATACAGAACAGAAATGAATTAGATGTGAGGTTGTGGTAGTGAGGGTGGTATGTGCATGTACACATGAAATGGTTCATAGCAGTGACAAGTGGTAAGATTTGGAGATGATGGGATGACCAGTGAAGCAGGAATAGTTGAGAAACGGTCATCTCTCAGCTGCTTGCCAACAGACAACCTACCTCTGGTTCTGGTTGGGGTCTGTGGAGTTGTCATTACAACTGTAGTCAAGGGCGGTTGGTTGGTGGGACCAATCTCTTCTTGGATCAGGATCAAAGCTGACCCAGAATTGACAGACTCCACGACTGTCTCGATCAGCACTGCTTGGCTTGTCGTCACAAAGAGAGTGACATTTGCAGAGACGGTAGTGGTGAGTTTTAGGATGTTGGACCCCAGCACGTGCAGTGTCTCTGTCTGAACGGATCCTAGAGGCTCAGAAGCCAGACTGACTTCTGCTGAGCCATTGATAGTGAGGTAAATCACAGACGGCACGACTGTCTGGACTAAGACTAACGACGTGGAAGCACCTCTTGTGATGAGAGATCTGGAAAAATTTGTGACCTGTTGTGTTTCTGGTGTCACTTGGACTTCTGATGGGTTAATGAGACTCACCGCCTCAGCCGCATCAACATTGGTCACAGTGAAGGAGATATTAGCTGGTTCACTTAACATAATCAGCACGGTGGTTTCAGAGGCTTCTAGAATCTTAAACCCAATCTTTATCTTGTCTGGACTGTCACTGATGGAGACGTCAAAGTCAGTTGCTTGGCCACTGGGAACAGTCTGCACATTTGTGTCGACGCTTCTGGCCGGGTCGGGAATGAAAATTTCCAGGGTGAAATTTGCAGGCTTGATGGTTGACGCAGTTGCCAGAAGAGTTGTGTTAGCACTATAAGTCTGTAAGGTTCTCACAACAGTTAAGGTCCCTCCTGGTATACCAGTTGTTGTTGAAATGGGAGGTTCTGTGTAAAAATACAAAGTAATCACTCATCAAAAGGCCTATCATTATAATTAACAATCAGAAATAGTCATCATTTCTATTCATTTGAAAATTCTATGAGTTATACAGGTCTTATGAACACATTTAGTTTCCATTCTGAAGAGCTTAAAATATAGAATAACTGGGATATTATGAAAAGTTGAGAACAAATGACAATGACTGATTTGTATTTACCAGTAGGTGGTGTTGTTGTCAGAGTACCAGTTAATATGGTAACCAGAGCCGCATCTGGCTCTGCACTCATCACCGTGGCGACAATCTCCACATCTTCCTGTGTAGTGACCGTCACTGTGACATTGACGGGACTGAGTATGACAAGATGCACAAAGGAGCCAAGCTGTGAGGATACTGATTGTTGGAGCTGTACTGTGCCTTCTTGGGATGATCTGATCTCAAACTCAGCTAGGCCATTGACATCTACCAAAACAGAGGCTGCAGATCTGGCACTGATGAGCAGAGATGTGCGGGAAGGTCCCAGGACTTGAACAGACTGAGTAGTGTTGGTCAAGACAGCCGGGGTTGAAGAGGTGGTTGGAGGCATTGTTGGAGCACCAACGACGAAAAGATCTACTTGATTGGAGGAGCTTCCTTGAGTCTCCAAAGCAACGTTGAAGGAAATATTTGCTGGTTCTATTGTATGCAAAGAGAGAGTTGCACTACCAGCCGCCAAAGTCATGAAACTCAAGACATATCTTTCTGGGTCTTGCAAGATATCTACTGCAAAATTCCTGGCAACTCCCTGGGGATTGGTAAACACATTAATCCCTGATACCTGGGCTGGATTCATTGTGTAAATGACAAAGGAGATGTTTGCAGGTCTGTCAAGGGAGGCAAAAGCCTGAACAGAAACATCTGTAGGCACGCTGAGCATTTTTGTAATTGCTATGGGGCCAGATGTGGATGTCGACTGAGTGGTCGGGGCTGTTGTGACAGGAGCTTGAGTAGTGACTGGAGTCACAACTACCTCAGAGTTGTCACGAAGTTGAACCACAGCCAAAGGATCCGTTGTTTCAACCCTAAAGGAAACATTTGCAGCCTGTGTCAGGGGTGCAGAAATCATTGTAAAGGCACCTGTGGGAATTCGGAATATTATGGTCAATAAGTCTTGGTTGTTAGAGTTGAGAGTTATATCGGTAGCAAGACCCTGTGGATCCGTCAGAATGCCAATTCCTGATGTCTCCCTTGGATTTGGGATGAACAGGTTAAGTTCAAAGTATGCTGGTCCAACAGAAGAAGCTGTAGCCAGAACCACAGCTGGCCCAGTCGTGGTCAAATTTCTGACAAAGACAGTCAGTGGAGAGGATGTGTCTGGGTCTGTAGGCATACTAGTTGGGCCAGTCGTGGGCCCTGTAGTTGGAGCTACTGTTGTTGTTGTGATGGTTGGCTGTGAGATGTCCAAAATCTCTGCTGAGCTCGACAAACCCAAAGTCTGAACAGTGAAGGAGATATTTGCAGAGGCAAGCAAGGTAATGGAGATGGTGGTAGTTGATGCTACAGACGTTGTAAACTGCAGTGAAAATGCCTCTGGATCCGTCAAGGCCGAGACACGGAAATTCTGTGCTGCACCCTGGGGATCGGTGACAACTGTGGCTTGAGCATTTTGAGCAGGGTTGGAAACATAAATGACCATGGAGTAATTCCCCGGACCACTTGTCAAAGCCATGGCCTGGAAAGTTCCACGTCCACTCGTCCTCAACTCTCTGACAAGTGTAACCATCTCCACTCCAGGAGAGACTGTCGATGCGATTCCTGTTGTTGGCCCTGTATTTATTGAGGCAGACAATCAAATTTATTTAAAAACTAGTCCTACAACTAAATTGACAAAATGCCATCTACATCTACAATACGCCAAACACAGATTTCTCTTGCTGGTTCCCCCCCCCAGCAGTCACACAAACTAGCTATGAAGTACCAAGTTTCAAACCAGTTTTTATGCTACATGAAAGCCAGGAAGACCAAACCCTGCAGTGTCTGAAATTTATGGCTGTGACTGGAAATAACACATTCCCCTATGATAGGCATTGGCTATGGGCCGTAGCCCATTTAACCAAAGCGTGTGCGTTATTGCTAGCCATAGCCATTAGATTTGGACATGGCCTGGACTCAAGAATGGGCTGTATTATGGCTACTGTGTGACCTGTTCTCAAAGGCCACAGGTATTTCTCCAAGCTAGGCTACCATCTCTTGAGCTTCACCTTTGACTTCACATGTACATTTTGATATCCCTGAAAGAAAACTGTACTAAAATTTGCAGGAATCCCCAATGTCTGGCATCCAATATACTGAGTGAAGCACAGAGTCAGACTCAAAAGACTTCATAAGTAGAGGCAAAATGATGGTGCGGTTGAAACTTTAATATCAAGTGTAATAAATCCATCCTTTTTGGCTAAGATGTATACAGTATACATGATAGTATGCATGTAACGCTGATAACGTGTCTTGGCATGTACATGCTCATTGTACATATGTCAGCTAACTGAGAGAATTTCTTGCCTCTGATCTCCTTAATAATAGACTTTAGATATGCTGTTTCAATTCTTAATATACCTTGCCTTTGTTTTAAGGAAAAAACTCAAATACCAAATATCTGAGACAAAAATACTTCTTTAATGTACACAGGTTTGGAAGTTATAAGGATGATTCACTTCAAACCTGAAAAGCTGGTTTTTAGCGTGTACTCTAAAAATTATCTTAACCACTGTGCAGCCACTTGAAACCCAGGTATACATAAAGGTTGTTAATGGCACCATACAGAGCTACATAGAAGAAAAATAAGAACAGTTGCTTTTATTCATACTTACCAACCATATGCTCTGTTGTAACATCACTAACAACCTCCTCAAGCCGGCTGATGAAATTGCCAGTGGTATCAACCTGAAGAGAAATGTTAGCAGCATCCACAAGGGTGATTCTGACCGTTGTATTGGCTGGTTCTAGGACTGTAAACAGTATTGCCAGGGATCGTTCACCAGCTCCGATGAAAGTTCTCAAGTTGGACTGAAGGTTACCAGGTTGTGTTTCGACATTCAGGATGACACTTTCTGGATTCTCCGTGAACACAAACAGGGAAAAGTTGGCTGGGCTCCTGGTGGAGGTGTAAGCTTCGACGAGACCCCCTCTGGTGGTACCCAGTGTGACAGGTGTATTAGGAGATTGAGTAACAGGTGTAGATGGAAGTGCAGAAGGAGTGGTTGGAAGCATTGGGGAAGTGGTTGTTCCAATATCCATCAATTCGATGAGAGATGCCCTACTGGAAAGATCAGCTGTATCCACCTGCAGACTGATGTTGGCTGGACCATTGACAGTGATGAGAATTGTCACGTTGACTGCTTCTGAGGTCTTAAAGAACATTGCTACTGCCTGATTGTCATCCTTGGTGAATACTAGATTATCAAAGGCAGCATCACGTGGCATAGTTTGCAGACTGAGGTTTGTATTTTGTTCAGCATTGTCTGTGTAGACAATCAGTGTATAGTTTGCAGGACTACTTGTTGAGACTGTCGCCATAACAGTAGAGCTTCCTTCAGTGGTCAGTGATCTAATCAGGCTCTCCACAACTGGCCTAGTAGGCATTGGAGAAGAGACACTTGGTTGCATTGTTGATGATACCACAGAGTCTTCTGTAAGTACTACAACACCAGACTTATCTGCTGTGTCAACTCTTAAGCTGATGTTTGCGGATTCGTACAAGCTGATGATCAAATCTATGTCAACAGCTACTGATGTTTTGAAGGCTGTAATGAGTGCCTCTGGATTAACTGTGATGAGTGGCATTATATCAAAAACAGCTCCAGCTGGTACCGAGACAAGGCTGACATTGACTGTTTGACTTGGATTTCTTGTATATATGATAAGAGTGTAATTGGTAGGACTAGCTGTTGAAACTAGGCCTCTAACAACAGCACTACTGTGAGTAGCCAAAGTCCTTAGATAGCTTATTACAACCATTGGTCCAGTGGTTGAGGAAGAAGGCTGCATCGTTGAAAGAGTACCAGCGTCTTCCTCCAGTACCACTGAACTTGCTTGGTCTGCTGTATCCACCTGAAATGAGATATTTGCTGATTCCAACAAGCTAATTATGAACTCGGCATCAACAGCTTCTGATGTTCTGAATGTCATTATTAGTGCTTCCGGATCAACACCAAAACGACTCATTACGTCAAAGGCAACTCCAGAAGGTACTGTCACAAGACTGACATTAGCAGTCCGTTCCGGGTTTCTGATGTAAATGACCAATGTATAATTGGCTGGACTACTTGTCGAAACAAAGGCTTTGACATTAGTGCTTCCTTGGGTCCTCAGAGATCTAGTAAAGCTCTGTACAACCATTGGTGTTGGCTGCATTGTTGATGCAGTGTGTTCCATAAGCTCAACAATACTGGATCCATCTGTTGTGTCAACTTTCACATGAATGTCTGAGGATTCCAATGTCCTGATGATTAAGGTTGTATTAGCAGCGGCAAGTGTTTGGAATGACACAGCCAATCCCTCTGGATCATCAACAAATAGATATCTAACATTAACTGCTGCACCAGCAGGTTCTGACTCCACGGTTATATTCACAGTCTCAGCAGGGCTTGTTGACACAATCAGCACAGAATAATTTGATGGCTGCTTTACTGATGCAAAAAGTCTGACAACAGCACCACCTTCGGTACTTAGAAATCTTGTGATGTTCTCAACAAGTGGTCTAGTAGGCATCGGAGTAGAGGCTGATGGCTCCATAGTTGGCAAGAACTGTGTGTCTTCTTCAAGCGTAACTACAGTGGACAGATCAGCTGTGTCAACCTGCAGCGAGATGTAGGCTGATTCCACCAAATTCATGACAATGGTTGTATTGACTGCATCTGAAGTTTTAAATGTCACTGTCAAGGCTGCAGGGTTATTACTTATTTGACGAAGTTCATCAAAGGAAGCATTCCTAGGACTGGTTGTCAAGCTTACATTAGCCGTTTGACTAGGGTTATTGGTGTAAATGACCAGCATGTAAGTTGCAGAACTCTGAGTAGATACAGAGGCTTTTACTGTGGTGCTTCCATTGGTAGTCAATAACCTGCTGAAAGTTTCCGTAACTGGTAATTTGGTTGTCATCTGAGCAGTGGGATAGATGGTTTCCGAAGTCATCATAGGCTCAGTTGGAGAGATTGGTGTCGATATTGCACCTGAAGTCATTGGCTGCATTGTAGAGCTAAGAGCATTGAGATCAGTAAATTCTATAGTTGTAGACGGATCTGCTGTTTCCGCAGAAAGGGTGATGTTAGCTGATTCCTGGACTGTGATGGTAAAAGTAGCCTTCACTCCTCCAAAGCATTTGAGAATGACAGAAAGAAGTTCTGGGTCATCACTCCTTTTTATCTGTAGATGGCAGGCAACATCTGAAGGTTGTGTCTTAAGCGTTACGCATACCGTCAATGAGGGGTTTCTGGTGTACACCAGGAGTTTATAATTAGCTGGCTCTGTGGATGAGACACAAGCTTGAATAGTCACATTGCCTGAGGCATTGAATGTTCCTGTGAATGTCTGAACACTTGGTTCTGTGGACACTTCTGTTGAGTCCACTGGTTGGACTGTAGAGACAATACCTCTGCCTTCTGAGAGCTCAAGGACTGTTGACTGATCAGCTGTGCTTACCTGGAAGGAAATGTTTGCCGATTCAAGTAGCTGTATAGTTACTTCAGTGTCGACTTTTTCTGACGTCTTGAAAGTCAGCAACAATGAATTGGAGTCTGCACCTGTGAAGTTTCTGATATCGTACGCAAGATCAGTTGGATCAGTTCCTATGCTTATGTTGACAGTTTCTGCAGGGTTGGGTATGTACACAAGTAGAGTATAATTTGCAGGTTTTCTAGTTGAGGCAAATGCAGTAACAGTAGTGCTGCCTTGTGTTCTCAAACTCCTTCTGAAGCTTTGAACAACATCTGGGGGTGTTGTCATTTGTGTTGAGACTGTTGGACGCATAGATGTCATGAAAGTATCTTCTGCAAGTACAACTAGACTTGACTGATCTGAGGTTTCAACTTGCAGTGATATATTCGCTGAGTCCAGTAAACGGATGATCAAATTTGTGTCTACAGCCTCTGATGTTCTAAATGTCAATGTAATTACTTCCGGATCATCACTTGTGTGACGCATAAAATCAAAAGCAGCTCCTGCAGGCACAGTCATGATGGTAATATTTGTAGACTGTTGTGGGTCTCCGGTGTAAATGACCAAGGTGTAATTGGCAGGTCTAGCTGCTAAGACTGAGGCCATAACTATGGCACTTCCCTGTGTGCTCAACGTTTTCGCAACAGTTTCTACCCCTTGTGTGGGTGTCATCATAATCCCTGAAACTAGTGTCACAGTAGACTGGGTTGATGAAACTGGTCGGGAAGACATTGTTGATACCATGTTTTGGGATGTCATCTCGTCTGTGGCACTTGAAGTTTGTGATGTCATCACTGGTTTGGATGATGTAACTTGTTCAGGTGGCACTGTAGCAGCCACTGAGGTTACAGGTTGCAGTGTAGACCCAGTACCATCATCTGCTGCAAGTTCAACAACAGATGGGTCAGCTGTGTCAACTTGAAAGGTTACGTTTGCAGACTCTAACAGGCTGACAATCACAGTTGTGTCAACAGCATCTGAGGTCTTAAATGTCATAGTGAGTGATTCTGGATCAACATTTATGACACCTTCCATGTCATATGCAAGACCTGCAGGATTTGTCACCATGCTCACATTAACAGTCTGTTCTGGGTCTCTTGTGTATATGATCAGGGTATAGTTGGCTGGAGTTCTTGTTGAGGCAAAAGCCTTTACAACTGAAGGCCCTTGGGTGGACAAAGCCCGAACTGTGGTTTCTACAACCTGTGGGGTGCTTGACACCACTGGCTGACTTGACATTGTCACTCCCGTGGAAACTTGAGTGGTCACTTTATCAGAGGGAAGCATAGTGTGTGACGTAACCACAGGCTCAGAGGAAGAACTTAGTTCTGCAGACATTGTTGCCTCCACAGAGGTATGTTTAGATATCATCTGTTCTGTTACTTGCATCGTTTGTGAGCTAGACATAGTGGGTTCTGTAGTTAATGTTGAATCTGTAAAGGTTTGCCGGGATGTCATTTGATTTGTAGCATACATGGTTTGTGAGCTTGTCATGCGCTGGGAAGGGACACTTGACTCTGTAGACACTGTTGACATTGAAGCAGATGGCTGTACTGTTGTCATATCCAAGTCAACTGCCAATGTAACAACACTAGATGAATCAGCTGTGTCAACTTGAAAGGTTACGTTTGCAGACTCTAACAAGGTGACAATCACAGTTGTGTCAACAGCATCTGAGGTCTTAAATGTCATAGTGAGTGATTCTGGATCAACATTTATGACACCTTCCATGTCATATGCAAGACCTGCAGGATTTGTCACCATGCTCACATTAACAGTCTGTTCTGGGTCTCTTGTGTATATGATCAGGGTATAGTTGGCTGGAGTTCTTGTTGAGGCAAAGGCCCTAATAACTGTAGGCCCTTGGGTAGACAAGGCCCGAACTGTGGTTTCTACGACCTGTGGGGTGCTTGACACCACTGGCTGACTTGACATTGTCACTCCTGTAGAAACTTGAGAGGTCATTTTATCAGAGGGAAGCATAGTGTGTGACGTCACCACAGGCTCTGAGGAAGAACTTGTTTCTGCAGACATTGTTGCCTCCACAGAGGTATGTTTGGATATCATCTGTTCTGTTGTATGCTTGGTTTGCGAGCTAGACACACTGGTTTCGGCAGTTACTGTTGAACCTGTAAAGGTTTGCTGGGATGTCATTTGATTGGTAGCATACATGGTTTGTGAGCTTGTCATGGGCTGGGAAGGGATACTTGGCTCTGTAGACACTGTTGATGTTGAAGCAGATGGCTGGACTGTTGTCATATCCAAGTCAACTGCCAATGTAACAACACTAGATGAATCGGCTGTGTCAACTTGAAAGGTTACATTTGCAGACTCTAACAGGCTGACAATCACAGTTGTGTCAACAGCATCTAAGGTTTTAAATGTCACAGTGAGTGATTCTGGATCAACATTTATGACACCTTCCATGTCATATGCAAGACCAGCAGGATTTGTCACCATGCTCACATTTACAGTCTGTTCTGGGTCTCTCGTGTATACGATCAAGGTATAGTTGGCTGGACTTCTTGTTGAGGCAAAGGCCCTAACAACTGTAGGCCCTTGGGTGGACAAGGCCCGAACTGTGGTTTCTACAACCTGTGGGGTGCTTGGTTGCATTGAAGGTGACTGTGTCATACTAACCGATGAGCTGCCAGAAACCATTGTGGATTCTCTCGTCACTGACTGCATTGTGGGTGATTGCGTCATGCTGACAGATGAGCTGCCAGAAATTGTGGATTGCATCGTCTTCGGATGCATCGAGGAAGACTCTGTCATGCTGACCGATGAACCACCAGAAATCATTGTGGATTCTGTCGTCACTGGCTGCATTGTGGGTGACTGTACCATGCTGACAGACGAACTGCTGGAAACAGTAGATTGTGTCATCGCTGACTGCATTGTAGGTGACTGCGTCATTCTGACAGATGAGCTTCCAGAAATCACTGTGGATTCTGTTGTCAGTGGTACAGTTGGATCAACTCCAGTGAATTTAGTAAAGGTGACAACAGCAGAAGGATCAGTGGTATCAACCCTAAAAGTAATCACACCTCCTTCCATGACAGTCACAAATACTTCAGAGTCAGTTGGAGGTGATGTCTTGAATGTCATTGTCAATGTATCAGATGTTTCGAGTTCTGTGACATCTACAGCTGCTCCAGCAGGAACAGTACGGATGGACACATTGGTTGAGTGGCTGGGATTCGTCTTATACCTAATGAGGGTATAATTGGCTCTTCCTGTAGTGGACACAAAAGCTCGGTATACCTCTCCTGCCATGGCAAAGACTGCTTTATTGACAGTATATACAACCGAGGGTGGTGGGGCGGTCACATTGGGACGCACTGTTGAAGCTATGGCAGAGTCTTCTGTAAGCTTTATTATGCTTGACTCATCTGCTGAGTCAACTTGCAGGGTGATATTTGCTGACATCAACAAAGTCATCCACAAAGTTGTGTTTACAGCATGGGATGTTCTGAATGTCAACATAAGTCCTTCTGGATCAACG